AGTGCGCACGTTGAAGTTCACGTAATACTAGCGACTCGGCATAGTTGTAATCGGATGCTAAGATATACGAACGTCGCGGTAAAAGCTTCGCGAATCGACAAACGTAAATTACGCTACGCAATAATTTCGACCAAGAGGACAAGCGGTTCGCCAGAGCAATGATTGGAGAAACCTCGCTCGAAACGTTCGCCACTAGAGCGTGCCTCTTCTCTTCCGGCGGTTGTGACACTGACGAAGGTTCGAAATCGGTTATTGGCCATTGTGAGGGATCCAAGTAAACCCAAGAAGGTCCATGGAACCAAAGCGGGTGGTCCATTATTTGCATCGGGGTGAGTCCCCGGGATAGACAATCGGCAGGGTTTTCCTTACCGGACACGTGATAAAAGTTCCGCGTTTCTAACTCGTCTTGGATCTTGGCCACTCGGTTCGCGACAAACGTATCCCAACGGTGGGGTGAAGAATGAACCCAACATAAGGCGACAGTGGAGTCGGAAAAGGCAAATATTCTTTCTATTTGAACTCTATCCCTACATGCGCCGATAACTGTGGTAATAAGCTTGGTGAGTACTAATATTGCGCAAAGCTCTAAGCGCGCCAGAGAGACAACCTTACGGGGGGGAGACTCTCGACTTAGAACTAATGAGGCTAATCGAATTTCTACCATTATTCTGGACATGGAAATATACAACGCCCCCCGTAAGCCTTCTCGCTGGCGTCTGCAAATCCAACAACCGTTATGCTGCTATTTCTATCGACATTTATATGACGCGGTATTTTAATTTCTCTTAGTAAAGGAAGTTCCTCTCTAAAGCGCTGCCACAATCGAACAATGCTGTCAGGCGGCGAGTCATCCCAATCGCATTCAAATAACCAAAGTTGTTTAATCAAAAGCTTAGCGTATAATACCACCGGAGCTACGAAACCCATGACGTCCCATAATCTAGCAACGCATGACAGTATTGTGCGCTTTGTGCATTTCTCTACGGGCGGATTTACCTTAAGGCTAAACACATCGGACTCTGGTGACCAACACAGACCGAGCACCTTGTGTGTATCGGAATCGTCGAATTCCTTTATCGCCGAAAGACGGTGTGATAGTGGGATTGTATCTAAAACCGGACGCGAATTACTAGTCCACTTCACAAGATCGAATTGACCCGATTTCATGAGCCTTATAACCTCGGCGGTGGTTAGGGTGGCCTCCTCCACGCTATCGACCGAATACACAAAATCATCCATATATAATCCGCTCTCAATTGCCCTCTTAGCTTTAGGATAAGAGGGACCTTCATCGTGAGCGAGCTGTCTCACCGTGCGTAACGCATGAAATGGGCTCGACTTTAAACCAAAACAAACGCGGTTAAATTCTAACACCATTAGAGGTTCCTTTGGGTGGAAACGATATAAAATGCGCTGGAATCTACGGTCGCATTCACGGACCCCTATGCAAAGAAACATTTGGCGAATATCGGCGGATAGTGCTATACTAAACAAACGAAAATTGACTATTATATCAAATAAACTGCCCTGTAAATTTTGCCCACTATAGAGGATATCGTTAAGCGACAGGTGAGTGCTAGTTTTAGCACTAGCGTCGAGCACTACACGTAATTTAGATGTAAGTTTGTCCTCTCTAATGACTCCGTGGTGTGGTATAAAATACGACGGTGTGTCTTCGTAGTTATCTAATTTCGAAGCCACAAGTGATATGTAACCTTCTCTTATATATTCGTTAATGACGCCGTCGTAAGCTTCCTTTAACTGGGGCGAAGCGAGCATCCTACGCTCCAAGCTGTAGAAACGTTTTTCCGCCATTTGACGCGAATCGCCGAGAGATAAAACATCTCCCTTAAAGGGTAGCGCTACACTATATCTACCGTCGCGATCACGAACGGTCGTGCGGACGTAAATTTCCTCGCATATCCTGTCATCTGAACTAGCTATGGGTGGGACGTTCACCTCCTCCATCTCCCAAAATTTGCGGACTAACGACTCGAGCGGTTCGACAGCCATACCACAATAAGAGGCTGCCGAAATACTATCTAGGATGGGGGCGGAGCCAAGGATCACATAGCCCAATACGGTTTCCAGTGCGTAAGGCGCGGTATGCGAGGAGTTGCCCCTGACCTTATTGTTTAACAAAAGATGAGGGAAAAGCGATGCCCCAATGAGCATGTCTATGTTTCCAGGAACGGCGTAAGTGTCGTCTGCTAGAGTCAAATTTTTAAATTCAATCATTGCCGAGGTGTCAACCGAAACGGTTGGCAACCGTTCAGTGACCCTATCTACTACTAGTGCATTTATATCAAAGTTAACGTTACGATCTATCCGAGAATAAAATTTTAAATTTATATATCCCTGTGTCGCTTTACTAGTACCTCCGATGCCTTTAACTACAGGACATGAAAGTGACCTATTTATTACTAAGCCTAAGCGCTGACAACATTGTCGTGTTATAAAGCTATTTTGGGCTCCGCTGTCCAGCAGTGCACGGACGCTTTGTTTGTTTCCACGCGAATCCCTAACCAAAATACGCGCCGTACCCAGTAACACGGTTGAAGGAGGTTGTGCTCCCATATTTGCCAATGAGCACAGAGCGACATCACCAGGTCGACCGCTAGAATCGTTGACCTTAGTAGGGGTGAATTCCTTATTCGCCTTACTTGACGCCGCTATGTTGCTATTTTCAAAATGTAATAGCGTGTGATGTTTCCTGGCGCACTTGCTACATACGGAACTCGAATTGCATTTTGCAACTAAATGCTTATCGCTTAAGCAGTTCAAACATAGGTTGTTTGTTTTTACTAACTTATAACGTTCGCTTGGTGAATATTTACGAAAATTCGCACAGTTATATAAATTACCGTGTTTATCTTTACATACTATACAAGTATGCTGGAGTGATGTCGGCGTAGCGGTTACGTAAGTTAACGACCCTGCTATTTTAGATGGTTAAGTCTGTCTACGGTCGACGTACCTTTTAATCTCCTGTTTAACGTTCGGTGAGCGCTGCATCACCTTTATTTGATCTCGCACGAACGATGCTAATGAATGAAAGGAAGGCATCTCCGAGCTACGATGCTCCATTTCAAACGCACGCACGGTGTCGGAGTCTAATTTCTTTAATGCTATATGGAGAAACACCACGTCCATGAGGTCATTAAACTTCAAATTCTTAAGTGCAGCCACCGATGCCACAAATTTATCGAGAAACTGCTCTAAGCCGTTGATGTTCGCGGATGATATAGGTTTAAGATCGAATATCTGGTTCAAATATTCGGAAGCTAACATTCTCCTATCTTCATATTTAGTTTTAAGCGTTTCAAATATTAATACGTAATTGTTTGCTGTAGGTGTAAAACCCGAGCATATCGATTGTGCTCTGCCACTAAGTTTACTAATTAAGTAATATAATTTTTCAGCGTCCGATAACGATGGGTTGTTGTGTATATTGTTTTGAAAACTACTGAAGAAGAAGGGCCACGTCTTAATATCACCATTGAATACCGGAATATCTATTGGCGGTAACCTAATTGAGTCACGAGGGCGTACCTGCATTTCAGGCTTCGCTTCGCCTTGAGATTGTAGCAATTTTGCGGTTCTCTTCACGCGACACAACATATCTTCGAATGCCAGCAGCGGTTGGTAGTTCACTATGTATTTCGGGTCGGTTTGTAGTTCCGAATGATTAATTTGATCTAATATTCTTTCGTAATCTGTCCGCAAATTATCTATCGTTTCGATTTCATTTAAAAAGGCCTCCCGTACTGCCTCTATATGAATGTTCTTTATATAATCACTTATATTCTGCACACGCGAAAAGAGTATGTCCCTCTTGGCATAAAGCGTTTTAATTTTGATTTCACTTCCACTAACTGCCATTTTAAATTATTATAATAAAGTTATATTAATCACAATTAATCTCACACGCATAAACGACGTAGGATGAATACGCGTGCCGTATTACGTAATCAGATCGAGCGCCCGATGCAGTCAAGGCTACGCGTCGTTTGCTAAACCTAATAATTTTATAAAAATTGTGGGGTAAGCGTATCAAACGGTTGCTATCACGCCGTTTCAATTATTTAATAAGCTTTAAATTTAACCAAATACGAGCGCTATTAAATGAATAATTCTGGTTGCGAGTAACAAATCAAAATTTTAATTTAAACGAACACTATTTAAGTCTATTCTATAAATTAGAGTGCGTTATCTAAACAATTAATTTAATAATTCGACCAGAAGATGGTTGGATAACCACTAAACACCAATCCAGATCCTGCTCGAAGGACCATAAAATGGTGGAGCCACGTGTTTAAGGCTGCCGAAAATCTAGTTCCCCGGTCAAACCTCAAACCTATTACGCGAGATATTAACTAAAGTGGACTGTATATGCGATTGCTTCTACGCTTACGTAAAAGCGACTACTATAGCATGCGGTACAATGCACTCGCTCTTCCCTAAACTAAACTATTACTTGTCGAATCGATGAAAGGAATCCTGCTTGACTAGGAAAAAAAACACAGGTTGGAGCGGGTTAAACTATTAGCAAGCAGGTATAATTAAGGAATATTGACTCACCGGGGTTTCTTCTTCCTGTCGATCACTATAGCGGCGACTTCCGGAACCTCCTCTGGACAGACACTTCTGGGGCCCAGTGGTGCGTCAGGAGAGAAGAGTTGGTTCAACGACGACTGCGGCGGGAGAAGAGGCTCGCGCATCGGTCGCGCGTGTCTTATATATCCTCGGCTCGGGTGATTACGCGATGTTCTAGAATCGTCTTCTTTCCCCTCCCACCCCACCACCCCGATGTGTCGATAGGAGGGTACGAATGATATTGTTTGGAAAGGAATAATGATTCTACAAGTTCCTACCGTCAAATAAAAAACGCGAATGGTTTTCCGCGCAACCAGAAGGTGTAGTTATAGTAAGAGTATATAAAAGTACACACACAAGTGTAATAATAATCCTATATAATCAAATTTATTAATACAATAAAGAGAGTCTTATATCATCATTCGTTTGTTTAACTCCTCTCCTAACATTCGCCCGCACAACCGCTGGACCAAGGTACGTGGCTGTGCTGGACGGCGCGCTGTACGCCGTGGGCGGGCAGGACGGCGTGCAGTGCCTCAACCACGTCGAGCGGTACGACCCCAAGGACAACCGCTGGACCAAGGTACGTGGCCGTGCTGGACGGCGCGCTGTACGCCGTGGGCGGGCAGGACGGCGTGCAGTGCCTCAACCACGTCGAGCGGTACGACCCCAAGGACAACCGCTGGACCAAGGTACGTGGCCGTGCTGGACGGCGCGCTGTACGCCGTGGGCGGGCAGGACGGCGTGCAGTGCCTCAATCACGTCGAGCGGTACGACCCCAGGGACAACCGCTGGACCAAGGTACGTGGCCGTGCTGGACGGCGCGCTGTACGCCGTGGGCGGGTAGGACGGCGTGCAGTGCCTCAACCACGTCGAGCGCTACGATCCCAAGGACAACCGCTGGACTAAGATACCTGTCCGATATCTGACAATTCCTATTATTCATCGGTCTCGCTGGATGTGAAGCGCTCTAACATTCAGATTCAAATTAATTATTTGTAAACCATTTAAATACTCAATACATTATAGAAGTACGTACATCTAGCTTCAGTTTGACTCAAAATGTGGACCGATTATTCCTAAGAACTTAGATAGAGTGCCTTGCCATTAGTAAAAAAGACCTTTGGTTGTTAACACTCACCATACGAATTACAGTAGAATTAGTTTGCTAGTTTATGCTGATATACTGAGAGCATGGTCCTCCCCAGTCAAGCTATATTCCTGTTACAACGTACCGCTACCACGTAAAATTGTAAATAAAACTTCTGCTATGGTGACTGGGGCCCGCAATACCATAACCTAAAATTTCAGCTACTGCGTTATGAAGCCGCGTGTGTATTGTGACTTATACACATCAACATCTATCGTCATTAAAAATCGAAATGTAAACGCCTTGTCACTCCAGAGGGTCTCCGATTCCTCTATATTTACAATACGAAACAGCAACATTAAGCTGCTAAACTTATTACTCATTTTCGATGGTTGATGGGTGTGCGATGCAGGTTGCATCAATGACAACGCGTCGGCTGGGCGTGGCGGTGGCTGTGCTAGGCGGGCAGCTGTACGCGGTGGGCGGGTCCGACGGGCAGGCGCCGCTCAACTCGGTGGAGCGCTACGAGCCGCGTGCCAACAAGTGGACGCCCGTAGCGCCCATGTCTACGCGCCGCAAGCACCTGGGCTGCGCTGTCTACGATGGCCAGATTTACGCGGTGGGCGGCCGCGACGACTGCACCGAGCTCTCCTCGGCCGAGAGGCGAGTGGCGTACATCCACACGCACTCACATGCAATACTCGCACACATGCACCCACACATACACACACACACACAAACACACAAACACACGCACGCACGCGCACACGCACACACATGTACACACACCTATACATGTGCGCACACAAACGCACGACCGCACGCACGCACGCACGCATACTACGACGGGTAGATCTAAGCAGTGGGTGGCTGCGACGACTGCACCATGTGAGCCAATACATACAAGTACTCATAATCCTACATACTCACACATACCTAATTCACACAGTCGCACACGCCCACAACTGCACTCGGTTGAATATTTGCCATAATATGTGTACCGTCTAATTTAGTTGGTTCTTGAAGTAGCTACGCAGTCCATGAAGAGTGACGGATAATAATAATAATAATAATTAGTAGACACAGTAGCCTCCCTCCACTGGCTACGCTTTGGTGACCTCTTCGGGGAAACCAGGGTTTTGTCTGTGCAATACAGGATCAGGTTATTAAGACCAACAACTATCGGAGATACATCCTAAAGGATGGCACCGTCGACATCTGTCGAGCTTGTCGCCATTCCGGTGAGTCACTTAGGCTGTCATCTCCGGTTGTTCGGCGCTTTCTAACTCTGACTACTTGCACAGGTACAAGCTAGTAGCCAGAATTCTTCACCAGGAGCTTGCTCTTAAATACGGTCTCGTGGACCGGAAATTGCCGTATTACAAGTACTTGCCGGAAGCCGTGCTCGAAAATGATCGCGCCAAGCTCTACTGGGACCGGGCCATCATCACAGACAGGACTATTCTTGCGAATAAGCCTGATATTGTGCTCATGGACCAGGCACAGTCAAGGATATTTTTGGTCGACATTACCATTCTGTATGACGAGAACCTCGTGAAAGCCGAAACAGATAAGCGGACAAAATATCTGGACCTGGCCACGAGGTCACCGACATGTGGGGTGGTCTGTCGATTGAAATTATTCCTGTAGTCGTTTCTGCAAACGGGCTAATCCCAGTCAGCCTCTCGGATCATCGATACCGCCCGCATCGTCCGCCTGATTCTCTCCCTTTCCGGGGTGAGACACCGCCAACTTTCTGACTCCGGGCAACTACTGAGAATTTCTTGACGGAAAAACTCAATAATTAGTTTTTTTTTGGCCCGACCCGGGATTCGGACCCAGGAACTCATGATCAGCAGTCGTACTACTACAATCACTGCACCAACGAGGCAGTCAATGGATTATATGATGAATGGATTATAATATGCTATATTACAAGCACGCTTGCGCAATCGTCACTATTTAAAAATCCAGTTCAATTGGACATTAGACCTTTAATGCTTTCTTATATTTACACGTACACGTTAAATAAAATAACCCTCTTCTTGACCGTGGGTATTTTAGTAGATTTTCCCATTGTAATATAGTGATAAGACACAGGTTGGTGATGTGGTTGTGTCTGTGCGCAGGTACGAGCCGGCGACGGACACGTGGTCGCCGGTGGTGGCGATGACGTCACGGCGCAGCGGCGTGGGGCTGGCCGTGGTCAACGGGCAGCTGTACGCCGTCGGCGGCTTCGACGGTACCGCCTACCTCAAGTCCATAGAGGTACGATTACGTTCTGATACCCAATCCACACTACTGCTGCTGCTACTGTGTACTATATAGCACTCAACGGGCAGCTGTACGCCGTCGGCGGCTTCGACGGTACCGCCTACCTCAAGTCCATAGAGGTACGATTACGTTCTGATACCCAATCCACACTACTGCTGCTGCTACTGTGTACTATATAGCACAACGGGCAGCTGTACGCCGTCGGCGGCTTCGACGGTACCGCCTACCTCAAGTCCATAGAGGTACGATTACGTTCTGATACCCAATCCACACTACTGCTGCTGCTACTGTGTACTATATAGCACTCAACGGGCAGCTGTACGCCGTCGGCGGCTTCGACGGTACCGCCTACCTCAAGTCCATAGAGGTACGATTACGTTCTGATACCCAATCCACACTACTGCTGCTGCTACTGTGTACTATCATTATTATAAACTAAAATACTTTATTTTAAGCGTTATTATAATAGAATATATAGTCTTTTAGTACATAGCAAAGCCTCAATTACGAAAATATTTGGATTGAATATTTAAAAAAAAAACTATAATTTCACCAAAACTGTTCACTTTAATGTCATTTTTTTCCATGTATTGGGATATAAATTTATCTACTTTAATTATTTTATCTAAATACAGGTAATGTTAAACATTCCAAAAACAATTTAGCTCCTTTTATTCAGTTAAATATTGTATATAATTATTTTAAAAATACTATAAATGATCACGCGCAGACGCCGTCCGATTCAGTACGCTCCGGGTCTTCCCAACGGTAGGACGTATCATTTTTTCCCGCCAGCGCCCGCGAACGTGTTGAATCGCACCGAAAGCGTAAGCTAGTGTTACCAAGTGTCCCGGTTTGTACGGGACGTCCCGATTTTTAGTGGTACGTCCTGATTCACCCTTGATTGGGACGCCAAATGTCCTGAATTTTCACTAACCTCCCTAGTCTATATTTCGATCGATCATTTTGACAGGAAAATTAAATATATATCTGTAAGCTGCTACTACATTAAAATACTTTTGCTTTGCATATTTTCCCATAAAACTCGGACTAAATAGGCAACATCAAAGTTTAATAAAGATATTAATAGTTACTTTGCAACTATCCACTTAATTAAATAGAATGATGTGTCTTATCTAGATTGAAGAGAACCTGCCGCCCTCCCTCAATTGCGTGCACTAATCCCGTCACCACTAATCCCAGCACCACTATTCTAGGAAAGGCACACCATCGACGATAATACGACACGTGTTTCGCCTTTACACGAGGCATCTTCAGGTGATGTAGACTCTACGGCGGCTGACGGCATCAGCGGTCACACAACATTGTATTTAATTAAGCGGATGGTTGCAAAGTAACTATTAATATCTTTATTATTATGGATTTCCGCAAAGTAACGCCTAATTTTATCAACATCAAAGTTTGTTTTGCGCGTAATGTGTTGGCATGGCAAGATGCCTATCGCTGTGATGCGCTATGCATCGATGTCGTTAATTCGACGGTAATTTATTATTTCATTTTATTACTAGTAATCAGTACAGTATCTAACTTACATGCTACTGCTAGGCTATCAAGGTGTGAGGTAACCGTTTGCATTATGCCGTTTTTTTAAAGGGCTTTATGAAGTGCCTGAGTGCAAATTCATAAGATTTATTACTATTTTCATAATCATATTATCCAGAAAGTTCAGTCCGCAACAATGTTTAAACGAAAAATTGATCGGTTCTAAATAATAATTATAAAACACATTGCGAATTGTGTCAAAAAAAAAAAAACAGTATAACTAATAGCGATAGCGTAACTGTCCCGATTTTAAAACCAAATTCTCGATTTTACCTGGCCACACTATCGGGAACGATGAAGGGGCAACTACAGAATAAATAATAGTATGCGCAGCAAAACACAACGAATGATACTTTGTTAAATGATATTATTTTATTTCATTATTAATAATTTTATAAGTTTATTTAATAGTAAGCAATTTATAACTAAAATATTTATCACTGTAAAAGATATATTGGACGGCTTCGTGGCGGAGTGGCTTAGCAATGAGTTTAAGGACCGCGGGTTCATTTCCTGCACGGAACAAAATTTTGTATTCCTACAAATAATCTGGGTCTGGATTTTTGTCCCTGTGAAATTTATGTTCTTATGTTAACTGCCTTCTCGAAATACCTGGGAAATATTCTTAGTGTGGAGGTAACGTTATTATAAAATAGAAGTAAAAAGGATATAAGCCATGGTAGCTCAAGGGCGAAGTGCTCGCCGTAATCGCGAGCAACTCGGGTTCGAACGCTGCCAACACCAATGAAATTGTTATTTTGATAAATTATCTTCACATTATGAAACAGAATAAATATATATCAAACGAAATCTATTTTATATATGTAATACGTATATTTTTTCGAATTCGAACATATATTACTACCTTTCTAGTTGTTAACTTGGCGTTATGACATTCCTTAGTCTATTCAATAGAGTAAAAAAGAAAAGCCGACTTCAATTTACTAAAAGAATAAAATAATTTATACATATTAGTTTCCGATGTCAGGACAATTTTGGATATTAGTTCTTATATACACTATGTCTTAGCTACGACCTCATAAGATATTATGTGTAAATTATTTTATTCTTTTAGTTCCAATAGTATCAAGATGTGTGCGTGACTGCGCTCGCCACACCTCGAGCAGTCACGCACACAGAGAACATTGTATTGTTCGTCAATATTACGCCGTTCCAGAGCGATTTGAACTTTGGAAATTTTGAATATACGCTCTTAAATAGTAGTCCGACATAGACATATGTCAATCGTGAATTATTCGTTCATTTGAGCCGGGTCGCGTCAAAGTATTGATGATTGCAAATAAATTTTTTGATTGTTCCGGATCAAACGATTGACAGGACTTACGACCAAAGGGTATGGTGTTGTCTGACGACCGAGTGGTCCGATATTGAGTGGATCTCACAGATCACAGATTACTGAAATTCGAGATGATCCATTTGAATGATTTCTCTACCCGATGTAGTCAGTTGTGTTGTTCATAAGTGGTTCGTAAGATGAAACAATACTTGAATAATCGGGTCATTAGAAATAAATAAATGACACATGTCTGTCGATAGTTTAATCGAAAGACAATTTATAATTTAAGCCATAAATTGTCTTTGAATTAAGCTGTCGATATTATCCCGGAAAATTTTGTAATGTGATGCATAAATATAATGTGAAGATCTATGAACAAAAAATATATCAGTATTATAGGCCATAGATTGTTTCGTGTTTGAAGAAAAAACAACAAAATGAATTTTTATATTAAAAAAAAGACGTGAATGGTTTCAATTATTTTTTGTCATGAATTAAGTTTTGGACAGCTTTATTATTTTTAAATGGTTCAGTTGACCGGTCCTTCATTTGGCATCCATATAGTAAAATTAATCAATTTCATTCTATGATTCAAATATAAATGACTTTAATGAGTGGTAAAATTAAATATTTTGTACAACCGACTTCAATATAAATAAAATAAGAACATAATCAATGTTGTCGAAGTTAATTAAATATGCATTATTAAGGATAATTTAAAAACTACTGGTCAGATCTTTAAGATTTATATAGGACCACATGAGAAGTATACCCTTTTTATTTAAAGGGGTATACTTGTCTTGTGAAAGTCATCAAAAAAATTTTATCAAAAAAATTTTACCTAGAAAAAAGTTTTGAGGAAACACACATAAAAAATACAGTTAAATTAAAAACCTTTTCCTTCCTTTTTAAAGTCGGTTGAAAAGGAATTTCATTGTGTTATGTAATAGACAGTTCACTTACATAAAAAAGTTATTTAATTGATCCCTTCGTAAATAATAATTAAAAATATACGTTAATAAGCATATTTGGTTGAATAAATTGTATGGGATTTGTGTGCGTGGAATGTGGTTTCGTTGTCCCAGATGTGAGTGAGGTTGTTGTGCAGGTGTTCGACCCGGAGTCGAACCAGTGGCGGCTGTGCGGCGCCATGAACTACCGGCGGCTGGGCGGCGGCGTTGGCGTCATGCGCGCGCCGCACCACGACGCGCACTACATATGGTGAGTCGTACATATAGTGTAGTATAGATGGCCGATGGAGTGATCAGGCCGAGATCAAACTCAAAATACACCAGTGTGCGTGTAATGTGCATGTGTGGGTGACAAATAGTGTTGCACCAGGCATTGCCTGCCTCAACTTCAATTGTCGATACCGATTTCAGTTTATTTGTGTCTTCTGATTTGACACATATTGATGTAAGTGAATATTTTAGTACATTATATTAAAGTTAATTAGTAAAAAAACTTTAACTATTAGTACATTATTTAAATTTTTTTTACAAAACTGAAGTATCCAATTTACAGTCCACCTAAAGATGTTTAGTGACTACTGCAGCACAAAAGGTTGGTCCATTACCATTTCAACTTATTAAGTCCACTGCTGAGCACAAGCCTCCCCCATAGATTGCTTCATAGTTGAGACGTTTGGCAATCGGATTGACAAACAAAAAGTCCCTGCTGTCAATCTCCCGATTTGTTTCCCTCCGCAGCCTCCTATGACACCCATTGGATGATATGGAGTAGTGGATGTCGTAACGCCGCCACTACACGGTGTGCACCTCTATGAGAAAAGTTTTCTTCAAAGTACTTATGTAGAACCTATTCCACGGTTTATTATTTTCGACCATTTTATATCGTACATCAATATTTTGTGAAAATCTGCCACAATATCCACTTACTATCAGGTGGACTGTGTGTTCGGTTGTCACCCTACTTCCATTAAAAAATAACTTTTTCATACGTTTAGAAGAATATTTCGTTACTGACTTTAAAATGTAAACAAAAAATATTACTAAATTGAATAAGGTTGCACGCAAAGCGAACCTTTGGATGTTAAGAACATTTCGATAATATATTATCGATAATGTCAATCTCTACAAAAGTGAGATTATAATAAGCCATATTTTATGTATTTGTAATTACTTTAAATTCAATTGCTTTGCGTTCAGATGATTATTGTGATAATTTATCTTATCCATTTAAGTACAATTTGTTTGCACCTGCTCTAAAATACAGAATTTAGACAGCTAAACATTTCGATTCTACCTACTTAAATGTATAGTAATGTAAGATTTATTTTTTATTTCTATAAAACACAATTTTTTCGGGATTTGTTTTATTCACGGATGACTCCAGGTCGGTACAGGCCGATAGCGTGTACGTGAATGGTCTAGCCTATCTTTTTGGCTCTAACATACGCGTACATTATGCTCTTTCTCATTTGCATTACCAACCTATTCTAACGTCAGTTTATACTAAATCTATGTGGTGAATACGCTCTCATCCACTGATATACGATGGCCGTCTAGACTTTTGATTCTTAATCGAGGATAAATGTGGGTAACTATGGGTCGCAGCATCCACTTACCATCAGGTGGACTGTGTGCTCGTTTGTCACCCTTATTTCATAAAAAACGTGTAGAGCACACATGCGAGTGTAGCATAGCTTTTTATTTTGATAATAATAATAATTCTAATTTTATATTCAACTTCATACATTTATAGCTGTCTGGTGGCAGTGTAAGAATATCCACTAAACCATATCGTCCTGGGAGTGCCATTAGAGGCGACGTAAGACCGATTTACACTTCGACAAGTACAGTAGCGAGTTTAGTTACATGGCAGTTGACAGTGAACGGTTAAGTGGGCAGTAGCGTTCAAACAATGTCTTCGTGGCGAGTTTAGTTAAGGACATTAGTTCATAGAGTTTGTTAGAGTATGACGTTTCAAGACTACAGAATTTTTATGGTTTTCGTTTAAGATGGTTCTAGGATTACGTCAAGATTTAAATAATCCAGTCAGAGAAGTATTAATGGTTGTTGTTAAAGAAGTTTTTAATAATTTTCATGAGTGCAGCATCTCGAGCAGGTTAGTTTAATTTTACAATTCTAAAACTCGTTCGTTTACACGAACGGCGAGTTTAGTTGCGGGTGTCGGGAGACGTGCGGGAGGACAGCACTTCGAACTTAACTCGCCGAAAAATAGCTCGGCCGGCTATCCTGATCAACTTAATCGTTAACTTGCTACTTAACTCGCTTATTGCCGTTCAAACGAGGTTCAAACTTAACTCGCCAGGTTCGCAAGTTAACTCGCTACTGTACTTGTCGAAGTGTAAATCGGTCTATAGGGAAAGTGGGACAAGGAATGGGCCGCAGCATTTTCCTGATAGCAACTGAAAATAATAGAAAATGCGGTTGCCAATCTGCTTACCTAGCGTGCCAACTGTGATGTGATGAGGCAATCTATGGGAGAGGCCGTGCACTTTTAGCTGTTGACTATTATTGGCTGTATGAATGATGTGATGAATGGAAATTTTTTATAAGTATTTAAGCATCTCAACCGGATGAGAAAAGAAAAAAATATCTGTACACCCTTAACTGTTTGCACCAATATTGCGTACCGCAATAATTGATACCGTATGAGGTACCCTCATTTGCTGTCCATTTCTGCCAGGTAAAAGGGTGCTACCCAGACGGACTCCTAGGCAGAGAAAATAAGTACTGCCATCTAGTGAACATACATACCATAATACCATCATCACTCATACAAAAGACAGCGCGTAGTTATATTTTTTACAGTATAACTACCCGCAAACTTCCAACAGCAGGCCTTTTAACATTACTAAAGCATGAGTAATCCTTATCAGCGTGGAATAAAGTTTAAATTTGTTTGTTTTAGGAACCGAAAAGACTCAGTGGTGTGAGTGGCCACGTCAGAGTGAAGCTTAAAGAGCGTTCCCGGTGCATTGCGTGGTGGAGTCCTGTGGTTGAGACCACAGCCCTCGTCCCCTCCCGCTCCCCACCTCGCATGGTCCGTGGCGCGTGCACCGCCGACACGTCGTGTGACCTCGCTCTTATTGTATTATATTCCTACTCCACTTCCCTCGGGCTAAGTCGTTATTCATTTTATTGTTAATACTTATATATTAATTGACTATTTATAAATAAATGAAAATACAAATTTTAGAATATTTACTAGTTTGCATTCAGTATATCCTTAGCATTTTTTTATAAAACAGAAATGACAAAAAACTTATAGTACGCCTAATGGTAAGTGACTTCTGCAGTCCACGGAAATTTGCAGCCAACTTCACACTTAAACTTCTACAGATGGTTTCTTTAGCCTGCATCGTGGATGCAATAATAATTATGAAGAAAGTGCTAAAACTTGAAGTTCAAACGACAAACAATTTATTATTTATCATGTCTTATTTATTTATAAAATCAAAATCTTTTCTTTATTATTTTAAATTGATAGCCTAATGATGATAAGTTTTATATAATAACAGTTACTTTGTACATTCACAGAAATTTATGTGTTCTGATAAGCTAATTTAAATCTGCCGAGAAATCAGTCGCCACGTTGGTTTTATTTACTAACATGTGTAATTTATGAAGCGCCAGATTTTGAAGACGTTTAATGGTAACAGTACATCTTTTTTAATTTGATTTTATCAAGGGTTTTTTTTTAATTTTACCTTTAACAATTCATGTTAAAGCAACGATATCTGGAAAAAATCACACACATGATTCACCGTTAGTGGCGACGAGGTCATTGCCATCGTGTGACTTATATTAACTTTTTATTTATATTGGTGCGCTTTATTAGGATATACACGTAGCTAAATTACGACTCTGATTACGAGTGTAACGTAACATCTGAACGATGAAGAATATAAAGATCGCTGTTCGTCTAAGAATTTTCGTAGCTCGTTGGACCAGTTTTGAAATTATTAATATTGACTTGTAGTCCATAACAACTTCACGTTATAAATGAATGCGTGGCTGGTAAAGTGCATATAGCCGTTTTTAATATCAACTCTTTCAAATACCTTTGTGCTAACGTTCTCTGTGCATCGCGTGATGTAGACTGCTCCCAGTCGCGTAAAATTATTACTACTGTTTTTATTTTTTATTTTATTCGGAATTAATTGCATCGATTCACCTAATACAAAATTGAATATCTATCAGCTATTAAAAGGTATCGATCGGTATCGGTATCGGGTATCTCATCTAACTCTTTTAAGATTTCGAAGTTACTATAAAAACGTTGTATTTAGACGACAACTGGTGGTGGCGACGTAGCTTTATCCACGACCTGGGTTTCATCCTCGTCCTCTGCTTCTGCTTCGTCTCCGTCACCATCCTCAGGCTCGGCGTCCCCCTCCCCCTCCACGTCTCCTTCGGCCTCCCCAGCCTCTCCACCGCCGTCCACTTTCCCGTTCGGTTCTCCCTCTCCAGCTGCCTCTGACGCCACCTCTTTGTTTACGTCATTCAAAGCATCGTCTTTTGACTCTTGACGCTTCTGTAATCAATTATCGTATCGTATTTTATGAGATATAGTATGAAACACAACGACGAACGAATAAATAAATGTAGACAGAATATCCGGCACTGTCAAGACGACTGGCAACATTCTTTCACGCTAGGGTGTCGAATACCGCACTCTAGGAAACCACATTGTTTTGTTTACATTGACAACGTTATTTGTCATTCACAGCTTTATTACGGCCGTCATAATAAAACGGCATGGCAATCCTAGGAAACCATAACTTAAATGGCATTTCAACTGACACACAATACGCATACACATACTCTGTTTGGCAATTAATTATAAATTGCATTATCTAAAAAGCTCATCTCTTTCTATATCATGAAGTAATATAGAAGTTAAGATATAATCAAAGATATACCTTTTTATAGTGTTGTTGACCTGATAAGACATACAGAAAACCAATGGTAGCTCAGGGACTTGTGGCATTGTCAGAGCACCCATGTTCAGCTGTGGACTTGTAAAAGGCTGTACCGATGATGATAGAATGAAATGAGTGTGTTGGAATGTTTTTCTAAGCCGCTGCCTCACGAGCTGCAAAACTGTAACTAACTAATTCATTGGTCCCGGCGGGGATCAAACTCGGTTTATGGACACATACTATGAAATTTTTAAGGCATAATAGTACTTTACATTTAATGAGCATTTAATTTTCAGGGTAGAGAAACAGCGATAAAAGTACGATGACTTAGTGATTTCTTTTTATATAACCTATATTAAGTAAAATATATTCTATTACTTTCTATTGGATGAATACGTGTTGTGAAAATTATTACCTTCTTCTTTTTCTTGGATTTAGCCTTAGGCTTAGCTTCTGGTTCACTATAACCTGGTGGAAAGAATCTACCGCACTCCAATTCGCCGACGACGGTGTCCTCGCTAATGTGCAGAGGACCTAGGGCCAAGAGTTGTTCCGGAGGTCCGTCTGGTATCGGGATGTTAGGTTCCACAAGCGATGGCTCGGCCACGCCAACAGCCACCATTAGGACTATGGTTTCACAACTGGAAAATGAAAGGAAAGTAAAATTAATCTTATATATTTATTACTAATATGTTTTGGTGTACATTAGCGTGATGAAGTAGCGAGCTGAATCGGTAAAAAGAGTTGTGACAAGGATTAAGAAAGGAATGCTTCGATAGGTTGGTCATGTTGAAAGAATGAATGAGGAAAGAGTGACAAAGCAAATTTATGTTGCAGAAGTGAACAAAAAAATTTGAAAGGGACGTCCTAGGCTAAATTTTATTGACCAAATTGGCGATATATTGAAAATGGGCCAAATCAAGAGTACGCTTAACCGACGAGCATGTATGCGTAGATTTATGGATGTGGAGGAGGGGAGAGAGGTATGTCAGGATCATCCTAAATGGAAGTCTGTAGTCTCTGCCTACCCCTCTGGGTGACAGGCGTGAGTTTTTATGATATGTTTATGATAGCGTGCTCTAGATCGTACATCGACACATACTGTTCAAAAGTTCAAGTGAATATTGAATCACAATAAATTTCTTTTTCGGACAAGTAGTAAAAAATTACTTTTAATAAGAATTAGTTGTAACCTCAGCAGTATGTTACTGATAACGAACACAAAATATTAAAAAAAAACTGCAGTCGCCATCTCGCCTTACAAGTGTGGCAAATATGGCAACATCCCCTCTATGAGGCAACACATGGGGAGGCCTATATTTAGTAGTGGACTTTATGTGTGGATTTTGACAGTGGATTGATAATCTTGAAATTGCTTTTGGAAAGGCAAAGCTAAACTCGCAAAGACCAACATCCACAAATTTGATTTTGGACTTAAATATCGATTTGATAGAAGACGTATTATTATTATACTCTTTATTGCACACAAAAATTACAAAAAACACAAAATGAAATTTATAAATTGTGCAATTAGGTGGCCTTATCGCTAAGCAGTGATCTCTTCCAAGCAAACCTTGATGAAGGAGATCTATTTCTTTTAAACATATAGAAGTGTGCATAAATAGTAGACAAACGTATGTTATTTTCTGTTTAATTATTTTTTACAAGTATAAGACTTATAGCTGCGTGTAGTGACGGTGTAAGAGAATCCGCTGTACCAACTGTGTCGTAAGAGCCGACAGAGGAAAACCAAAACGGGAGGTGTGCCACAGCATTTCAGATAACAACTCAATATTAATATATACTGATTATTAATATATAAATGTATACGTGGTAGAGCCACGCTACAGCTCTGTATGTTATGGTTGTAGCACGAATGGGTCGACTTGACCGGGGAACAACCACGCTTTCACAAAAATACCACCGTAAAATAGCAGCTTAATACTGCTGCATTTCGTATGGAGAGTATAGAGATCCGGAGACCCTTCTTTACTGGAAACAAGGCATTCCATCTTAATCCTCAGGGGTGGCAACGCATCTGCATTTTAATTCCTAATCGAGGATAAATGTAGATGTCTATGGGCCACAGCATCTACTTACTATCAGGGTGGCCTGTGTGCTTGTTGGTCACCCTTATTCTATTAAAAACAAATTGAAAACTGTGGCTGCCAATATGTGTGAACTTTTGCTGGGCTGTATTGATGATGATGACAAAGATTAATTGGTGGGGAGGATGACAAAGAGTTTTTTTTATTTAGTTACGAACTATGTGTTTCTTTACTTTTATGAATAACCTGTATTAAAACTGAGTATTATTTAATTATTTTGAGCACAAAAAAGACAAAAATAACTCACTAGTCCTTCTCCAATCTCTCCTCGTACCGTTCGATAGTCTTACAGAGCAGCTTGGGCGTTTCCACGTTCGCGTCGGCGAAGAACCCATATCGTAAGAGCACAGGGTTGTGCGTGGTGTCATTGGCAGACGCGGTGACCGTGGCAGTGGTGGCTGCAGCCAACACAGCATGGCGTTGCCACGCGCCGAACACTAGCGCTACGTGTGGCGGCTCCGCTGGGGTAGGGGGTTCCACAAGCGCGCCCACCATCTTTAATAAATTTTTTCCAATACTAGTGATTTCGTATTCCAGGTTATTCATTCCTTATACATAGAATTGAGATCATTCGACAGATAACTCAAAATAGCGGATAAACAACGAACTATTAGGGAACGATGAGGATGACGAATTTTAAATTGGATTGGTGTAGTCATTCTACCTTAGGAAATAGCAGATCCAACACAGCGGCCCGCTGATGGCGATTTTTGGGAACGTACAGTCCGGGCACGTTGTTGGCTTTCAGCTCCAGGGATAGGGTCTTCTTCGACGGTTCACCTTCTTGCTGTTTCCCACCATCCCCAAACAGGGCACGACGGGATAGCTCTGGAAAAGTTTTTGAAGAAAAATCGTTATACGAGTAGGCTGTGTACGCATGTACAAGAGCGCCTTCTAGCGTCGGTACTCGTTCGTTTACACGACCGAATAATATTTGTACATAATTATGTCATATACATTTACACAGCAGCATTATTCGGATGTGCCACGTTGGTATTCCGTACGAGCGTATTCCGTCCCCTGTCGAGTCGACCCACAAAAAGGGTACAAAATCAGCACGGTGGGTTAGTTATGGAAAAAATAATAAAAAAAAATAATTTAAAGCTGCATGCGCGTGCACATAAATGTCGTGTGTATGACGTATTTGTATATTATTGTGATATCTTGCTAATTCTTCCTGTGGCGGCGCTGTCGTCGCGCCGCAAGCGAAACACACCGAAGCTTAAATCACGCTATCAACATTCCGAATCATAAACAGCATATATAGAACATCTCCGAACTATCACACGGAGCGTTGGCCGCTCCCCGGGCACAACACCTTGCCCGGCGGGAGATCTCCCCTTTTCCTACCACGGCCACAGTGGTGACCCCGACGTGATCTGAACACGCAACCAAAACACCTTCGGAAACTACAACGTCAAGCCTTTCGTCATTATCCTCAAGAACCCCTACCATTCACTACTGAGAATCATCTTCTACAGTCTTCAGTTCCTGCAAGCCAGTCCAACTTGTCTTCATCTCGACTCACCGCAGATTTATAAGGCAGACTTCTGGCACTTGCTCCAGCACATCGTTCTCACCGGCATCACTTGCCAGTGCGTAGTACGGCATGCATTACACATCGGCATATCATTCGCACCGGTGTCACTTGCCCTTACGCACACAGCATGCATTCCCCACCGGCATTTAAAAAAAAAGGACACACCGGCAATCGGACTGCACTATCGACCTCCGGTCTGAGCAGGGGGGTGATGTGGCGGCGCTGTCGTCGCGCCGCAAGCGAAACACACCGAAGCTTAAATCACGCTATCAACATTCCGAATCATAAACAGCATATATAGAACATGTCCGAACTTTCACACGGAGTGTGAGCCGCTCCCCGGGCAGAACACCTTGCCCGGCAGGAGATCTCCCCTTTTCCTACTTCGGCCACACTCCCAAAGCAGAAGTATTTCCAAACCAATGGTAAAAATAAAAAAGGACTTGCAATAAAATTTATTTACAATCTATATTAAATGTATAAATATTCTATTCTAATATATTCTATTTCATTCTATACTATTCTGTTCTGTTCTATTATATACCCCTTTACGACTTACGTCGGTTTTAATAAATACCCCGTCCTGTGACCCACAGGAAAATCGGTATTTATATATCCCTCTTTATGTGTTTTAAATTAATATAATATTGTAGTTTTATATGGTACTTTTTTCAGCGATTGAATGAAGTATTATGGAAGTCAAAAGAGTCATTCAAGATATATTTTTTGTCGAGAATTTAGTGACTGTTATTTATCCGGAGTATGACTTGTCTTAAGGTTGATATTTTTTAAAATAGTGGATTTTCGATATATCGATCATTATAAATAATTATTATCGGAGTTTTACATATAAGTTTATTTATCGATATATAGAAAATCCGATATTTTAAAAAATATCAACAGTTTTAGTTTGAACTGATCAGTTGGAATGATCAGTTGAACTGACCGTGTGTGGCGACCATTAGATGAGTTCGATCCGTTTGATGATTGTTGTGTGTCTGTTATACCTAACTTATTGATCTTGGATGTTAAGTGACTGCTGCGTGTTTGATGACTGCAGGGTGTTCTGTATACGTAGTTGTTGATTATGTACGAATACAGCACCTCCTAGCACTTTAGTGAGTATAGTTGATGTGTGAATAGCTGCTAGTTTTTGAAGGATGCTAATGTTAATATGGCTATCTAATTTGTCTATGTATTTCTTAATAATTTTAACTACCACACCCGTTGCTCTTATTACTGGAGTAACTAGGAACCACAGTTGCTTCTATATTTCACAAACGACTGACTTCAGTTTTTAGCTGATGGTATTTGCTTAATTTTTCAATTTCCTTGGATCCCATATTGTAGTCTGATGGTACAGTTATATCTATTAAGAATGTTTTATTACTAGTTTTACCAAAATATATCAAATCAGGCTCCTTATTTTATTATATTATATTCTGCTCTGCTCTTCTTTGATCTGCTCTGTTCTAATCTATTCTATTCTCTTCTTTTACTTTCTAATCATATCCTATCTTGTCCTAATCTATCCTGTCTTAAGCTGCAAAAAAAAGCTACGCAATGGCAATAATTCTAATCAATCACGAACCTATAACATCACCTTCCTTTTCCGGCAGCTTCTTAAGAAGTAAGGCTAGTGACGGCCGCTCAGCTAATACTGCAGCAGTTTCTTCACCGCTCATCTCCTCGTCTTCCACCGCCAGCAGCCTGGCGCCTAACTTACCCAGCACTATTGGACATTTGTCTGCTACTATTACACCTGAAATGAAAATACTGTAACGAACAAGGCAGACTCAGAAAATAAAACATGTTACTTAAAGTTATGTTAAGTTCGCTGAAATTGAATATCACAAACGACTACTACTGTAAGTGTACCTGTATCTGTAGTGTGTTTTATACGTGGTAGATCCACGTTACAGGTACATTATGGTTGTAGCACGAATGGCTCCGTTTGACCAAGGCAAGACCACACTCTCACAGAATACCAGAGTAAAATGGCAGCTTAATGCTGCCATTGCACTCACAGCATTAGGCTGTTGTGGTTCGTAAAGAGTGTAGAGAACTGGAAACCATTTTACTGGAAACGGCCCACCATCTTAGTTCTCAGGGCTGACAACGCATCTGCATTATGATAATTAATCGAGGATAAATGTTGATATCTATGAACCACGGCATCCACTTACCATCAGGTAGACTGTGTGCTCGTTTGTCACCCTTATTCCATTAAAAAAAAACCACTACGATTGCAGACTGCAGGAGACTCGGTGGTGAAGGGAAACAGCGTGAGGACACATGCGTTTATGTGGAATAAACTTACGAGAATTTGTAAAGACCGCCGCCAATATGTACTGAAGCGGCACGGCAAACTAATTGCCGTTAGAAATGAGAGGAGGCTAGGAACTTAAGTTTGTGCTGTGTAGTATTTATAGGAAACTGATTGATAAGTGTGAATTGGAGCCCCGTCATACGCTCTCATACTCGGGCTTCGGTTTTAGGCTAGCGTGTCTCGAAACCGGGGCGTTTGTCATACATTTTAAGTCGCCATCGTAAGGGATAAAAAGGAGCGTGTCTGAGATATTACCCTGACTTAGGCTTAGTATTAGAAGCAGAAAAGTGATCATTGAACTAGATGTATCGCTCTCTTCGTCTAGGTTGACGGCTTTTGAATTTAAACCCTGTCCATGTATGTTTTCTGGCCAGTTTGCTATTATAGATACATTGGGACTATATAAGTAGGGTGACTAAAGATGATGACTAATTTTATGACTGAGTCACATTAACGGTAGGGTGTTCCTACCGTTTGAGGTTTGATAACTTATCTAGAAGTTATGTGTACAGATAAGTTATCAAACCTATTTATACAGTGCTGGGTGAGACAATCTATACGGATGCTTGTGTTTAGTATTGGACCTTTTAATGGACTGAAATGAATGAATAAAAATGAAATGTTCAGAACCCGGAATAATTGGTTGTTGGCAAGCAGCGACTATGGACTTCAATGTGGCAAGATCAAGACACATCTCGCTCGCCTCCTTTTCATCCATATATCCACGCATACATGCTCGTCTGCTACTCTTAATTAGGTCTGGTCCGGTACTCTTAATTAGGTCCAGATGATGTATATGTCATTAATATATCGTCAGTTAGGTTGATAAACTTTCGTCTAAGTCGTTCCTTGCAAACTCTGCCAACTCTGCAGTGTTTGTTATCTATAAAAATATGTTGCGTATGGGTTTCATTACGTTTAGTCGAGCTCCTACTGTTCACTACCCCTTAGCTTCCGCGTACTACTTCAGCTTGTAGCAGCGTATGTACTGACCGTACGGTTCCAATGCATCAGCCACTTTACGTAGGTGCTTCTGTGCGTGTGGTAGCATGAGGGCTGCGCACACTTCGCTGAAGTGCGCTTCAAGCTTGACTGCTCGCGCCTCCCTGCGCGCCTCACGCGATGCCTCTCGTGCTGCCGCTTCGCGAGCTTTGCGCTCCGCTACTAGCTTCGCTTGCAAATCCGCTATTTCCTTACAAATATACCACCAACTATCTTAAAATCGGTGTCAATGGACTCCTCAAGAAGTTATTCGTCGTAAGTATCACTTCCGTCTTCACAAGTCAGTTTTAGACGTGGTAGAGCCACGCTGCAGCTATATTATAGTTGTGGCATGAATGGGTTGGCTCGACCGGGGCAGAACCACGCTCTCACAGAATACCAGCGTAAATTAGCAGCATAATACACACACACATAGTGTTTGGTATGGTGAGTGTAGAGAACCAGAGACACTTTTTACTGGAATCAAGGCATTCCACCTTTGTTCTAAAGGGTGACAGAGGGTGAGGGTAAAGGAAGACGCATTTGCATTTTGATTCTTAAATTGAAGATACATATGGATGTCTATGGGCCACATCATCCAGTTACCATCAGGTGGACTGTGTGCTCTTTTGTAACCCAATGCTATATAAAAAAAGTCATGCTGTTCATATGGGAAGTATCACTGTACGAGCAAGTACATGATATTTCAACAGTTTAGAAAATAATGCTGATATCGCGCCTGCGCGCGCGATACGTTCACTATAATTACATTTTTTATTCATAAGTATTTTCAGTACAATAAACGCTCTCTACGGAAACGGACACAGTTTTAATTACCACATCCCGTAACGTAGAAGATACAACCTACATTAATATACTACATATCAATTATATGTAGAGGGTCACAACTCACAAAATACCCCCTACATTTTGGTCCTTCGAGCTTTCGACGTGAACTAAGACTTGCATATTACGTCTACAATAGTTCAACAGTAAAGTGTATTTGAAAAAAAAAAAAAGAGTAATTCGTGATTCTATCTGTAGTGTCACTTTGGTTGCTGGCCTCCCACAAGCGGGTCTCACCAGCTTGATTGAGGTGCATACTACGGTAAGAGTCGCAGTCACACGTATCTGAAACCAACTATTTACAACATCGTTCTTAAACCATGGAGAACCTACTTCAACAGCAGAGAACAATCATTGAATCTATCCTTAAAATTGAGGCTAACTTCAAAAAGGATTCTGATTCACGCAAGTCAGAGTAACATAATCCCCGTGCCGTGTAAGTGCTGTGACGTCACTCCAGCTGGGCAGAAAATGCGCATCGTGCAGTCTTCGCAACAGGAGAACAGCCACGCGCCACGATTGTGTAATCGCACCCACCTGTCGTTGCAATCCAATACTCTTGTGCGGCATGTTGATGAGTCGCCATTGTTTAATATTTGCGCTTCACATAATGTATCGGCTACCTTAATGTTGTAAATAGGTTGATTGATAGCACATAACATTTTGTTTTCTTGCAGATTTAAGCATGATGATACATCTCGGTTTTCTAAGGGTATTATCATGTCCCCTTTTAGGTTTACAGCAAGGTATTCAGATGTGAGTACTATAGTTTTCTCTGTGTGTCCAGTTATTTGCGGAATAGGAATGATGTGGTTAAGTTCATATTGTTCGTTGTTTATTAGCGGTAGCTTCACTTCGAATATTATGTATGCACTTGTTAAGCGCACGTGCACTCGCGCCAGCTTGTATAGGCTTCGCGTGCAATGGCGTGTGTTCACACAGGGTAGCGATAACTCGCTTGGTAAATGACCGGAGATGATGTTGAGCTGATCTTCAAATTGGTTGGGCTTGATGAGATGGGTGTCAACTCTCCCGTCCTTCACGTCAGTTACTAGGTCTAGGAGTTGCTGTTGTATTTGTCGTATGTTTGAAATGATCAAGTTCACGGCCAGAGCGGTAGCTGTTATGTACATAGCATTGTCATGGCTGATTTGTATGCGTTTTTCCGTTTCAGCGAGATGATTGTCGATGATACGAAATTGTGTGTTCATTACTTCCTCGTTTCTTTTTAGAAGATTATATTCACTTTCGATGATCGATGTGTGATTTTTGTAGAGATTCAATAGATGATTTTCGTTTGACTGGATTATGTTGATATCCTTCACGTACTGATTGGCAAATCTCTCATCCAGAGTACCAAAAAGGGAGTTTGCTAGGTATCCTATTCCATTCACTAGTCCTCTTTTTCTTCGAGACGGTCCATGTTCTGATCGTAAGATATCGTTATAGTGTTGAATTTCGTTAAGTTCGTGTTGAAACTGGGATGAAATTGTAAGATAGGCTGCTTCCTTCTTGCATAATGTGTTCAAATGGTTGACATAGTTTTGTATGTTGTCCAAACTCCGCCAATATGTCGTCATGTTGTAGTATACAACCATTTTCCAGTCCGCAGCACTTACACGGCACGGGGATTATGTTACTCGGACTTGGGTGTATGCTCAAGGGAGAAAGCTTCATCATTCATGCTCGCAACGACTATCACAGCGAGTTGAAACTAACAGGCAGTGAAGAAAGAATGTACATGCGTGAATCAAGCCTGAACCACATACTGACAGACTTTAATCATACATTTGGACCTGAAGATCATAAAGACGCCTTACAAGAGCTGAAAAACAACATTGATAAGGTCAAGGAACAGCAACAAACACTGAGTGTACTATCACTCACACATGACACACACAACTATGTGTTGTACACCTTAGTCGGATTTATTATTGTAGCCTTCATTGCATGGGGGACATTCCGGCTGAAAAGAAGATGTCAAGGCTGCAGCGTGAATCTTCGCGACAAGCCAGACCCCAACAATGTCGAGCAGCCAACCCAAGGACATTCATCGGAGCATGGGGTCTCGGACATCGATAGTGTGGATGCGGTGATCGCAACGGCTGCCCGTAAACTCAATAGGGGTTCATCGCCTTAAACTTTCTTCTTGTTTATAAAATTGGCAAGATGTACGAGCAAGTACATGATATTTCAACAGTTTAGAAAATAATGCTGATATCGCGCCTGCGCGCGCGATACGTTCACTATAATTACATTTTTTATTCATAAGTATTTTCAGTACAATAAACGCTCTCTACGGAAACGGACACAGTTTTAATTACCACATCCCGTAACGTAGAAGATACAACCTACATTAATATACTACATATCAATTATATGTAGAGGGTCACAACTCACAAAATACCCCCTACAATCACATTATAACAGAATTATCTATCCATCCATTAAAGCTTACAAAACTGCTGGCAAGAGGTGAAAACGTATTTTAATTTTGATAATCTATCATCGATATAGATGTTTATGTACTGCATGACATCTATATCAGCACGAAGGGCTCGGCGCGACTAGGGAAGGACTACGCTCTCACAGAATATCAGCGTAAAACAGCACCTTAATACCGCTGTGCTTCGTATAGTGACTGTAGAGAACCGGAGACCCTTTTTACTGGAAATGAAGCATTGCACCTTAGTTCTCAGATTCTTAATTGAGGATAAATATAGATGTCAATGGGCTAAGTACAGCATCCACTTACCATCAGGAGGACTGTGTGCTCGCTTGTTACCCTTATACTATAAAAAATACCACAGTTTAAGATCTTACGGGTATTTCCCGAAGTCATAGTACAACATTGATGTGGTGAATTGTCTTATGATGTCATTACACCCCACTAAGTATACCGTAGGAACTGTTGTAAAAAAAATTACACGTACTTACTTAATGATTTCTTATATTTACAGAATAAAAAATGACTCAATAAGTATTATGTAATAATCCATATTGAATAAAAATTATTATATTCTATTTTATTACCGATTTTAGGGATTTCATCGCGTTCAATTTTAACATATTAATTCACGATATTTCTAACGCTTGACTGCAGTCATGTTGACGGAACTGGGGAACGAGGTGTTAGACGTCCAGATGTCATAATTAATTAAATGTTGGAGGTATACTTCGTTAACCAATACACGTACTTGTTCTGGTGGTGTGAGTTCATGCGGTGCTCTCTTCGGTCGCTCCCTCTCGCCCTTCCGCGCCAGCTCTTCGTTGCGTAGCTCCTGCTCTATGGTGCGAGCGAGTCGAGGAGCGTCAGCTCCGAAAACAACATTTACTAGCTGTCCAGCCTGTGATGATGATAACATTGATTAGGTTGAGGATTTATAAAATTATATTTTTATAATGGTACAAAACAAAATGTAAAAAGAACAGAAGAAATTTAAATTAAAATACTACTACTCCAACATAGTACCCACGCAACTACCATAAAATGTATTTTAACTGAATACAAAAAGCAGGAGGTTCTTATTTCGAGTATATGTTCCGTAGTTAAACTACAAGGAACCCTTATAGTTTTGTAATATCGTGTAGTTATAGATATTACAAAACTGTGAAATAAAATCTTAATTTTTTTATTTTGGTACCTCTCATACAGGTAAAGGGAGGATGATTTTTTTATATGTCGATTCTATCGTGTGCTGTGGTGGTATCGTTGGTATTTCGAAAACATTGGGATTTGCAACAACATTTTTTCGATTCAGGGGTCCGTTTAGGAAATATTTAGATTTAAAGTGGTATTTTTCATTAGAGTCGTGTGCCCCCTCCAACCAAACTACCACCAACTAAACAGCTGTATTTGGAAATGTGAAAATTCCTCCTAAAATCCTTTTAACTTCATTATATGTATAGTAGTATATGTAATGAAGTTAAAAGGAAAACTATCACAGCTAAATAGAATTAACAAGTTAACGAGTAATAGTCAACCTTCTTTAAAATACACTTGGATTAATAAAAATTTCGTTACAACTCCAAACAGAATTACTTAAAACTAGGCGCATTATAACTTTGTAATATTGATGTGAACTGTAAGAAATAAACATTTTATGAAGAACAAACGACTTATATGCATTACTACTACAGCTTTAATTTTTCCTTTGCGGGATAGGCAGGGAAGATCTTTCTTACATACATACTACTTTCGCTTATTTTAGCTGGTAGTTATAGTAGGCCGCATTCAATGTATTCAAATATAATTATATAGCCTCATACAGCATCATTCGTGGTACTTTTGATTTACACAGGCGACCCCCAGGATAGTTCAGGGCAGTACGTTGATGTCTTCTTCATATGCATATGCACATGGAGGTGGCGGGCCTCGGGGTAAGCCCCCATTACCCGTGCTGTCCTCGCGGTCCACCACTATGGACCGGTCCTGGGAGCCTTCTATTGGCATTGTAGGTGTCAAAAATACGGATTGTCCGTAATTGGTAAAATTTTTCGTAGCCGGTTAAGACTACGAAAAAAGAAGGTTATCCAGTAAAGTCAAGGTTGGCCTTTCAGCGGCATTGAGGGTTGTTACTCGACTCTCTAATCGATATAGAGAGGAGTTCTCTTGGATAGGGTCGCCCGTCCGGAGGGCGAGTGTGTAGCGGCGCAAAGTTGTTAAGATGTATATGCGGCCCGTTGTCTGCACGGTCGAACAGTCCGCGCGCCAACCGGGCCACAAATTCCTGTATGGTGTCGATCTTCAGGTTGGCCGCTATGACGTCATTCCGGACGTAGCGACCCGCACCGACGATGGTTCTTAACGCCATGTTTTGCTGGGCCTGCAGTCGCCGCCTCAGAGGCTCACTCAGAAGCGCGTACCAGGCCGGAGCAGCATAGGTGATGATGGCTCTGATGTAGGTTTTGTAAACACGCACTTTATCAGGGCAGTAGGGGTTTACGGGAAGGTTCCTTACGGTCATATATACCGTAGAGTTACACTGTTTTACACTGCGAATATATCACTAGATATCAACTATGACCATCTTTGTACGTAGTTGGCATGTGAATGATTTGATTTATAATATTGTTTTCAAAATAAAAAAGATTTTTAAATCTTTTTTGTATACCACTCCCTATAATTCTTATTGGAAATAAGTCCTTCAGTTACCATCGTCCTATTTGGGCCCACTTTTAGTCTTTATAGCGGTCATTACATCAGTATTACAATCATACAGACTGGATAAAGGTTCAAAATTAATAATTAAACCTTTTATTTTAATGGAATTTACATTCCTACTTACAAATATATAATGTTCAGTGTAGTGCTGATGTAAGAATATCCACTCCTCATAGCATCCCGTGGGTGTCGTAAGAGGCGACAGAGGGAAACAAGACTAAACATAAAAAACTCCGGTTACCATCATGCTTGCCAATCGTGGCAACTATGCCAAAAATCCGTAGCAGATGGTATGGTAAAGTCATAACAGATGGTAGCACCCAACCATCTTCTCTATTGAAATTAGGATGTTTTTTGATTTCAATAGCTTTGAGAACCATCCTTGGAAGGAATCGGTGTTCTTTAGCGAGGATTTGTGGTCTATCAAATCTGACGTAGTGACGAAACCGATCTTGTACGTGTTCACAGACTGCAGACTTCAGAAGTCCATGGATGACTCGCGAGGCTATTGAAATCAAAAAACATCCTAATTTCAATAGAGAAGACGGCTGGGTGCTGCCATCTGTTGGGGTCCTATAATTAATACAATTAAAAATCCCAAGCCAAGCACACAACTGCAAGACTTCAAGATAATACAAGCTCGTACAGTGTAGTTCGGAACAAAAGTTTTTTTTAAATAGAATAAGGGTGACAAACGAGCACACAGTACACCTGATGGTAAGTGGCTGCTGTGTCCCATAAACATCTACATTTATCCTCGATTAAGAATCAAAACACAGATGCGTTGTTACCCCTGAGGACTAAGATGGAATGCCTCGTTTCCAGTAAAAAAGGGTCTCCGGATCCTTTACACTCAATATACTAAACGCAGCAGTATTAAGCTGCCATTTTACGCTGCTTTTCTATTTTTTTTTGCTGTATTTCGAGAGCGTGGTCCATCCCGTGGAGTCGACCCATGGCAGAATCTACCACGTATAAAAATAGTTGACCGTTGCTAACTATAACATTGTTAACTATGACGTCGAATACTTCAGTCCCCCCCCCCCCCCCCCCCACCCCGTGACCATGGGTGCTGTAAAGTGCTCAAAACGTCGGAAATATAAAATACGTTAATATACGCGATAAAATCCGTAAAAACTAGTTTTATTTATATTTTGTTAGGCTGTAACGAATTAATAAATGAATACTACATTGATCGAAAATAATAATTATTGAAATTAGTTTTTAATTTTTAAAAACCCACCGGATTTTTTGTTGTAATAGTATATTTTATAGAAGTGTTGTAAAACAATTTCTTGTGGTTGTTTTTTTTTTAATTTTTAGAGTAGGCATTTTATATCACTACAGTTCATTCCATGTCTACTGCTGAACCTAGATTATTACAAAGTGCAGTCCTGAGCCACCTGCATCCGTTGACTACCTGCAACCTGCATATTTTTATCAGATCATCACTATATCTTAAGGGAATCGTATAATGCTGCGCTTGCTAGAACGGTGCTGCTACCCGAGAACCTTTCTTCCCCATCGGTTGTCGGTTTTTCGAGCAATATGGCTAGTTTTTGCCACTTTGATTTACTGAAGAAGATTCGTTACGGATCTTAACACGTGGTCAGTCCAGTGAGTCCAAATAACGTAACTATTAGCAAATAAGTAGCTATTAGGAATTATTTAACATTTTTTCTAAACAATATTTTATAATCAGACTTGCAACTTTCTATTCAGCTGAGTACGGAATACTTAAGTAAGAGGTTTTTTTAGTCAGATAATTGGTAAATTTAAAATATTTATTTATTTTATAATTTTTTTCTTGTAATCATTAAAGCAGTCGTAGGTACATAATCAACTTCCATGTTATAAACATTAAAAAGGATCTATTAGAGAAATGTTTATGCACTCCAATTATCATAATTAAAGTGGAAGATAATGGTGCAGAAAGACTAACTTTTCTTCATTTCAGGCAGTAGCTTACTCCTTTTCTTCTTGTAAAATCCCAGCTTTAGAGAACAGACGCTCTGAAGAATTAACACTACTTCCTTCCCGACCGAATACTTTTTCAAAATATTTGGCTATACGGCTAGAAAGTCCGCAGAATGTACGGTATTCGGCGTGAGACCGAATATACTAATCGTTGCAAGTGTAATTAAAATGTTTTTCTTTCTTTTTATTATTTTTTTTATTAATTTTTAAATATATGTTTAGGTACCGACCTATTTTCGCAGTTATCGGTGTCATGGTAAGTCCAATAATATACAAATATGTATACCAGCAGGTTTAACTTTTGTAAAAGTACTCCTTGGACTATTTGATCGATACCGTTCACACCGGTGCCATTCCATACCAGCGCAAATGTTCACACATGCACACACATGTAGTATACATAGTATGTACATGTGCATGTAGCTATACATAGTTTGAGTGGCGGAGCACGGATAGCTGCCACCCGGTCAAAAATGAAGCCTTTCGCTGCCCTCCCCAAATTTTTCCTAGTATCCTAAAAATGAGAAATGCTAAAAGTCTTGTATATTAAGTCTATGTATATTATTTAAGCTATGGAGATATAGGGTGGACTATGCTTGGGGTTGCTCTGCGTGAAAGATTTAAAAATTAGGGTTAAGTAGTAAGCTGAAGTGGCAATGGTCCGGCCATTTAGTTCGAAGAACCGAAAACCGATTAGGAAGAAAGGTTCCCGGGTGGCAGTCTCGTACCGGAAGATGAAGTCTAGGGCTTACCCCCCCCCCCCCCCCCCCCCGAAGGTGTCATGACTTGGTTAGAGATGTAGGAAGTCAATGGATGCATGTAACACATGACCGTGCTTTGTATTATGCATAGGGGTGGGCCAAGTTCAGCAGTGAAATAGTGAAGGCTTGTAAAATAAAGATTTTTAAAAGATTGTGAAAGATTTTTATAAGAATTATTTAAAAATTGAAGGACTACGGCTGATGTTTCTTTGAAAATGCTAAAATGCCAAAATGCCCCATAATTCGGATGTGAGGCACTCCAACACAGTCTTAAGGGGTGACAACGAATCTGGTAACGTCGTTGTATAAAGTTGGTACATAATTTCAAGTAGACTGTAAGTTTGTTTGTCACTTCAGTATTATTAAAAAAAACTGTAATTGCTATTAAAAAACTATAATTGTTATAAAAAAAACTATAGTTGCTATTAAAAAAGGTTAAAAAAACTATTATTGCTATCAAAAAAACTATGATTGCTATTAAAAAAAATATATAATTGCTATTAAAAAAAACTATGATTGATATTAAAAACACTATCATTGATATGGAAAAAAAACTATAATTGCTATTAAAATTTCAGTGCCAACGAGCTCTCCGAAGGTCGAACTCGGTTCGGAGGAGCGCTTATGCACAGTATTACTTTCTTAAATTACTTAGAAGTAGTTATGTGTAAATTACCGCTAAAAACATCCAAGTTGGTTCGCTACGATTTCTGAATCTCTTCAAACACTCTATTGTATCCGCTTTTGCCTGTTGACACGAATAATACATGTTAAAAGCAAACCTAATATATAATTATAATAAAACTCATTACATTTTTACCCCTGTGGTGTCCTAAGATTTTACTAAAGTAAATTAACTCAAAAGAAAATTTATAATCTAAGTCCGAAGGGGTCTCTTAAAGAACAATCAAAGAAAAAATATTAACTTTGGCCTCTCTGTATATTTACTCGTATAAAAATCTGATGTTGTACATAAATTTACACAAAAATAAATATATTTTTATTGAAAATGGCTTTACATTCTATAAATACAAGCAACAAGCACATGTTATACCAGTTACTCGACTCCAAAAAGTCTATAATTCCTTCATGGGGAAATGTTTACGCTTTTATAACAAAGTCCCGGAAAATATGCCGGACATGTCTATTAAAAAGTTTAGAATATTTTTATTAAGCAAGAATTGTTTAACACAATGCTATTATTACCTAAATAAAAAAAAAAAATTGTACTATTAAAGAGTATCTACATGATAGAACCACAAGGAATTAAGTTATCATCTCACTATCATGCTGTTTACAAATGTTTCATATTAAAAAAATACAACATGTTATATTATAAATTGATGTTTTTAAAAAAAAGTCTCGCTGAGGTTTTTTTCTGGCTTTTCTAAAACCAGATTTTTTCGATCCAGTGGTAAAAGCTTATATGCCTTTCAATAAGTGTTTGTAATCGACACTGAATATAAATTATACTATTCTATTCTATTAAAGTCTGTGATTAGTGATTACGCAATGGTGGTATAATAAAACGAGTACCGCACTTTTTCTAAGAATGGTAGAAAATTTTCGTTTTGTAATAAAGTGAGAATCAGAGCGGCTCGAAATGACCGAGTCCTCTCCGATCGGTTCGACTCACTGGCGCTGCGAAGAGATTTTTGAATTTTCTATCGCATCAACCACGAGAAGTGCTCACGATACTACTATTCTCATCATCTGGATCCTTGGCAGTCCACTACTGTAAATTTTACTAAGAGTTTTCTTCCTTGAACGAACCTTCTGGTAATTTTGGGATTTTTTTTAGCCGATACGAGGCGACCTTAAGGACATTAAAGAAAAGTGCTTACTCTTTTGCCTTGCACCTGCAATTCCCCTTGGGCAGCGGTAGTCATTTACCATCAGGTGAGCCGCATGCTCGTTTGCTCCCTCTTCTATAAAAAAGTTGACATAATCGCGGGGCGGGTAAATCTGCTTCAGAGAGCACAAGAGATTTGTGTCAACAAAAATTTGGCCACCGAGCTATGAGCTCCAGCACGACACGCAAATATTGCACGATAACAAGCTCTGAGTCCTACTCGCCCCAGCTACGTCACAGCGACCGAATGAAACCGGCCACAATCGAGTGTGTGCAGCAGGCACCTGCTATTCCACTGTATGTCAAAAGAGTACCAGATAAGATTCAAGATGTAAACAGTAAACATTAGAACTATATCCGCTGTATACAAACCAAGGAAGATTAGTTAATTTCTTTCATCCGTTAAGAAGTGTTATAACCTCTACAAAATGTAATGTACAAACTTGATTGAAATGATCTGCCTTATATAGGACGAACAAAAAGATATTAAAGAAACATAGGTGATGGTTTCCGACCATATCGAAGAAGGCCCCCGCCATTCCATCGGATTTGATAGACCACAAATTATAGGGAAAAGAACTAATCTGCGGGGCTATTTATAATAAAAAATCTAAAGTCAATAGAGATGGCTGAAGGTGGAAAGTCCACATTGGTAATCGCATTTTTATTAGTTTTAAATGTTACCAGGAAGATGTTGCGTTGTATCCATCTCCTGTTTAAGTTTCCCTCTGTCCTCTCTTACGATTCCACCAGGTGGTGGGACTCCCCTACTGCGTCCGTCTGTGTTGGTACCACCATCTCAAAGTAGCAGTGACTGTGTTCAGTTCCGAAGGGTATATGTAGATAGCCAGTATAATTAGACTTTAGCATGCCTCCTTAAAATAATAAGGGTATCCGGTTCTCTACACCCACCAACCCACCATACTAAACACAGCGTTATTTTCTTGTTTTACGCTTGTATTCTGTGTGAGCGCACCTCTACCCCATTTGAGCCGACCCATTCATGCTGTAGCCATACTGCGGCTTGGCACTACACTAATAATATTTTATGAGACTTACCACCGCGAGGTGCAAATTATCACCGCCAATCTCCACCTTGATCTTCTTCAGGTTGCCTACCATACCTGTGCACGGGCCGCACCATTCCGAGTACACGTCTACCACTGTTGAACATACAATTGTTTATTTTGTAGACACATACTTTTTTAATTAATGAAGATCATTACTATATACGTGGTAGAGCCTTGCTGCAGCTGTCTTACGGCTGCAGCATGAATGGATCTTTAAAATTACAACTATAAACAATATAGTAGATGGACCCTCGTAGTAAGGTTAAAAGAAAACCTCTCAGTCCCAAAAATTAACAATAACAATAAATGCACATAAAATTGCAATTAACAATTTCATTGGTGCTGTTGGGGATAGAACTCGGTATGCACTCCTACTGTGAAATTTACTGCGATCGTTTAGTCATTAAACTACCACGGCTCTCGTCAGCCAGACCAATACGACTTAGAAACATTCAAGAGCGCTAGTCTTTTTAAAAGATCGGCATCGCATCCTATTGTGCTATAGATTGGTGGCGGTAGTCATCATCAGTTGGGCCACATATATCTGAAGTAACGTTTATATGATATGACTCTAGCTGATAAACTCATTATCATCATTACAGCCTTTCACAAGTCCTCTGCTGAACATAGGCCTCCCCCAAGGAATGCCAAAAAGCACGGTCCTGAGCCATCTGTATTCATCGACTTCTTACATGTCTTACCAGGTCGTCATTTGATATCTAGTGACAGCAACTAGGTGTACTATTCAGTTGGGAACCTACCGCGGTCTAAAGTTGTACAGTTTACAAATGAAATAGCTCACCAAGTAGCCCATCTCTCTGCAAAAACTTCTTCCAATCCTCGTCGTTGTTGAGCTCGGTCTGCAGCTGGACCTGTGCCGCCTTCTTGCCTGCACCCGAAGTGGCGGCGGCAGCGGCGTTCGCGACCGCGTTAGTCAGCGACATCGAGTACAATGCGAGCAACGTAGAACACATATCGTAGTGTTGAGATGGGATAGAGGCGGCGGAAAGAAATGACAATAATATGTTTTAAAGTATATTCAATTACGAGTACAAAATTCATATTTAAATTAATTTTAACATATTAAATGATTATGTGATATTGTTTTGTTTGGTATTTTGTTAATATGAGTAATTTCTTTTAAAAAAACATTGTAACATACTCATTGGACAATCAATGTAGCAAACAACAAGACCGAACAGTCAATCCGAACAAGGCCAGACCTCAAGCGGCGTCGTGGCATTTATAGCGCCAATGTCGTAGAATAGTAGGAAAGTGACAAACCCAGAGGATCATAATAAAAGATGTGGATCAAGAAGAATCATCTTTTGATGTGTTGGATTGGTACCGCAAACCCGCTGCTCAGATACTAAATGTAAATGCTATAAATAATAAATAAATGTAGGTAGAGTTATACTGTAGAGCTTTATTAAATTTGTACAAAAGTGAAAACAAGTTGATTTCATATTTTGATACAAATGGAGTTAAATATACCCATTGTGCAGTTTTAATAATGCATGTCACCTTTTTCCTTACTTCCTTGAAATTATATATATCTCATGAGTAATGATTAAAAACGGTATTATGATTTATTTCTGTAATCGGTATCGCTCACAAAAATTTGAAATGATTTAAGAACATGATGATGGTGCCTCATTTGTTTTTAAATCATTGTACTGTGTGTGATGGTACTGTGAGCCAGAGATACTTAAATCTATTTGACACCCCTGACAATTGGAAATGTGGAATTTTTCTCGAATCATCGATGAATTTAAAAAATATTAATAAAAACTTTACAAAACTATATAAAATGCATGTGGTTACTTTTTGCTTGCTTATAGACGAACATTAGAGTAATAGATACACAAATAAAAAAAATAGTAGTAATATCTATTATTTTACAACTCTTTAGTCTCATATCCCTCGCATGTCTAGCAAACAATTCGTTTTATGACTATTCTACCATAGAATGATTTCGATAAATCATTTTTGCAGACAAATTGTATGTTTTTTTATACTTTTTTGTTTTTCTATGACTTTGAACTACGTAAAGTATAAACAAGTGTTTAATTAGTGCCAGTTTCTTATCACCAGAAACCAAAATTTTGCATTAGATTATTCCTAGAAATATAAGTTCCTATATGATTAAATTAACGCATATAATTCGTACTTAATTCTGAAAATGTTTTTTTTATATTTTACCTTAAACTATGTATGCAGAATGTTTTGAATAAAATTAAGTCTAGAATAACGAATTATACTATACAATACATACTCTTTATTGCACACAAAGAAAAGATTCATCTAACAAATATACAAACGGAAGGAAAACAAAAGGCGGTCTTATTGCTATTTAATCTTAAAGCAATTTCTTTGAGATAACCCAAAATAAAAATTAAATAAAATGATGAGAAGATTAACAGGTATACACTATTACACTATACTACTATACTATTACAACTTATGCAATCAACAGAGAGAGAGAGAGAGAGAGAGAGAGAGAGAGAGAGCGCAAAAAAATACTAAAAAATAAATTACTGTTAGCAAAAATTGTTTTTTTTTTAGTTCATTTAGGTATCAGTTCTACGCACTGTCCATTTTAGACTATTTTTTAAACTTGTGTGCTCGTTTGTCACCCTTAGTCACAAACGAGAATACCTGATATTGTATTTTACAGTTCACTAGCCATACGCCCCGGCTTCGCATAGGTGATGTCTGGATATCGACAACAGCGCCATCTACCGGCCACATTTGTGAATCTAAACCGTTCTCGAATCAACTTAATCACACACACACAAAACTTTTTCACACATTTTTTTCACAAATTTCATCGAAATTGGTCCAGCGATAGATCAGTGACCAAAAAATAAAAGGAGGTTAAAAGGACAAATAATAATGTTCTATTACCTGTATCTTGAACAAATATAAAGATTCAGCACGTTTAATCGTCAGAGGTGAGGAGTTCAAAAGTCATACTTCAAGAACAGAGAGAGAGAGAGAGAGAGAGAGAGAGAGAGATAGGGGGGGGAGAGAGAGAGAGAGATCTATCACAAAATGTCATGTATCAATGTCATGACATTGGAGGTATACCTTGAACCGTAACGAAAAATCATGACAAGAGCTGAGCAATTAGAACGATCTTTTAGATAGTGGTCTTCTAATTTCTAATTTTTATTTAAAATATTGGTATAAATTTTAAACAAGACATTGATTTAAGTAAGACGACGTACCTATCCATATTTTGGGTAGTAAATACCTAAAATAAGAATCAGTATAGAAGAAAGAATATGAGTATTCCGTCGAAGATATACTTTTAAGATGGTGCTTCCACTAGGTTTTAATTTGATACTAAGTATTTAGCCCTCTGAACTAAACCCCTAAATCGAAAAAGCAAATTTTGGCAATCATTAAACATGCCTAACCAATGTAAAACAAACGTTTTATACACATATAAAATACGCTGTTAAACAATAAATTCAATATTTTCTGCTTGTGACAATCAGTTAAGAACGAAAAACTGCAGACGGATCTCCAACACTTATCAAATGATTCTGTTATTGATGATTTTATGTCATCAATAACAGAATCATTTGATTGATGACATTGAATTTAATGTTTAACAGCGTATTTCACATCTGTATAAAACGTTTGTTTAATTAAAACTAGAGTTTAATGATTTCTTAAATTTACGCGAACACTTGAATAAAACCATTATTTACGGATTTTATCGCGTTTAATTACTACTTTACTTAATGATTTCTTAAATTTACGCAAACACTAAACAAACACAAAACACAAAACTAAATTTACGGATTTATCCTTCATTAATGATTTTACTTATTTAAAATCAGTTAAATAAACGCATAATCCTATTTAGTTTTATTCAATACTACTTTACTTATTTTTACTATCCCGACGTTTCGGGTGCTTTACAGCACCCATGGTCAGAGGGGGGGGGGGGGCTGAGACGTTTGACATCCTAATGTCATAGTTAGTCCGGCTAAACATCTAATATAATTATAATTAATTTGCCCTTATTTTAAAATTTTTCTTTTAAACCTAAACTCAAATTGTCGACATCTTTTATATTTTATTTAAATTGGTTACATGTTGTATAGTTATTTTGTGAGTATTGTAAGAATTTTGCATAATTTAAACGTGTTTCCTAAAATATTAAATTATGCTACACCTGTAATTCCTATACACCAAATAAAATGAATTAAAACATTTTAATATTTTTTTTTCTAATTATATTTTTTTTCGATATCCTTTGTTATGAATAAATGAATTTGTAAACATAAATCTTATTTTACTATAACTTGCATTTCTCGTCAGAAATACATAATTATGATCGAATCTGGTTTTTACAAGATTTATTCTATTAGGAAATATGTTTTTAAAACATTGAAGTAATATCTACTTACGTACTAGAACAGCTATTTCAAACAAGAAATGTCCGCTACTCTGTGTTCGCGCGGTTCTTTTTTTATCATAGAATAAACATAGGTAGGTGATCAGCAGGTAATAATAGAAAGTATTTTAAGTAGGTAAATTATATCGAGTGCAATTTTTTAATTAAGTAATTTATTTTGTATATTATTATATTTGGTTATTTAATATAATATTACATAATATTATATCACAATTACAATTTAATGATAATTTTTACCTGAATATTTTAAAAGATAACTATCTCAAATATAAAAAAACCTACTAAATATGTTTATTTTTTTAGTTTAGTTTAACAAAACTTATTAATATAACATTTAAATTAGAATAACAGTCATTCATAAGGGCTGGGCAGTGTGCACGCGAGAATTAAAAATGGACGAATTTATTCCACTTTGACTTTGATGTGGAAACCTAAAAATAAAATAAAAGAATAATGATCAGATTTAAATATACAAAATTTTTACTAATTATGATAACTTATATATGTTTCGGCCAAAAAAATGTGTATAAATAATATATTCATCCTATACTTAAGTACCCACAGAAATGTCGCATCTGAACAAATTAATTTTATAATCTATAATCCATGACAGAAGATGGCGTCTTAGGAATAATTTGTTTTATTATTAATCTATAATACTTTTTATTCATTAAGTATCTTACTAATCGATGAAAAGTAATTCCTTGATTTTTTACTGACATTTCTTGAATTATTTGTGCAATATATAACGACGGCATACGACACACGACGGCATATTTTTATCAAGAGATTTTTTTAATCACCACAACACGTGACAAATCAAAGAGTGACTGATTTGGACTGATTCACAGAGTACTTTTTTATAGACTGATTATAGTGCGGTGGAAGCACCGCAGTCGAATGGAACAATGGAACAGAGTAGAACAGAGTAGCTGAATGCAGTGTCGCCTCTAGTACGTAGTACATAATAGCTCAATGCTCTAAAATTAATTATTACAATTCTAGAGATATGTTTATAGAAATAGTGTTTAATTTAGAGAAACATATTTTTTTAATAGAATAAATCTCGGAAAAACTAGATCGATGAAAAAAAATTTGGTTTGTGCGATTCAAATTTTCCCGCACAATTTATTTTATCTGCGTCAGTGATAGATGGCACTGAATTTTATTCCCGTCCATTTTATATGGAGTTAACATTATTCTCCGCTAGGAGTAATAGTGTTCTGTGCTCTTATCTATGCCTTAGTCCACCCTACTAGCGACATCAGGTGAACGTAAGATTATTAGCTCTCATTAATGTAATTTGTTTTATAATCACTAATCAGTGTGAACAAAGGAAAGAGCTAAAAGTTTTGCCTGTGAAATTTCAAGCTATTTACAAAACCTCACATTCGACATTCTAAACTGACATTATTAATTTTGATTTTGATTTATGATAGAGACATCTATCATCAAACTAATTTTTGACATGAAAGTTTTATAAAACAATTTATCTATTTAGTACTAGATGGCTTATCATCATTTACAGTTAATAAGTGGTAT